GAGATATGGTCAAGAGAAGAGTTAGGAAGAGAGTTATTATCCGACCAAGTCAAAAACCAACCCTTTAAATACATTTTCGAGTAGTACGATTTAATTTATTAGACTATTTCAACGGTTGCTTCCAACTTCTTAAATTCGTTAATGTAACAATTGTTGGTGAAGTGATTGTTGACAAAATGAATCAAACCCATATTTATTTCTACGTTTATCAAATTCGCAATTTTAATTGGTCAATCAACAAATAGCATGGGTTAAAATTTTGTGTTCCCTCCTGTTAATTTTTGTGTTCCCAGAACGGTCTCTCCTGTTGTAATCTGTATATTCAACAACTTCTGCAGGCAAAAAATCCTTATATTGTTCCAGAATACTAAGATGTTCTTGTTCTTGAGTTGTAGGTTTGTGCCTTGATTTTTTTGTTACATTTGTTTCATCAATTTCCATAGGTATTATTTCTTCTTCCAATATTAATGGTGTATCTGTTTCAATAATAGGAACTTCAATTTGCATTTCTATTTCTTCATTTTCTTCAACATAATTAATATTAGTTAATTCTTCAATATCTTTTACTCTCAGTTGCTCCAAATATCCCTTTCCTCTTCCTACAGTATTTCTTGGTTCAGTAAGATCAATATCTTGTCTGATGATTTTTTCAAGGTGTACTACTCCTTTTTATAACATGTAAACAAGCGCTGATAGCCCTCTTTTGTTAATTGTGTAGTTTCTTTTAACAAAATGGATCTTTCAGGTAAGTTGCTTTCAAAAGTTTTTAGAAGTTCATCAGCCAACCCCCACATTGCTTGTCTATGTTCATTTACATTCCTTTCTTTTCTGGGCACATTACTTTCATCAACAAATTCATCATATAACATTAGCATTCGTTCTCTTTCTACCTGTACTGTTTTTATTAGATTTTTTAAATCTTCTGAACTTTTCACATTTCCAGGAAGATTTTGTTTGACAAATTTGATACCAAATATTTCAAGGGTTTCATTGTATGCAAGATAATGGTTCTCTTTGGTGAGATTAACTGAGGGTGCAGCTTGAAGTTGCTTCTGTAATGGATTCCTACTGACATGAATTAAAAACCTGGTTACAGATTCTGCATACTTGTACTTCTTGGTCACTGGAAAAATTGGGGCGAAAGATTCCAAGCCTTTTAATTGCAATTGCAGGTTTGCCATCCTAATTCACATTTTATGTGACTTCAATAATCCTGCCCATCTGTAATAATGTAACACACTTTAAGAACATTATTGTTGCAAGTATATCATCAGTACTTAGATTATTTTGTTTTTTATAAAGGTGGATTGCAATACCAACAGCTGCCCAAATGAGTTCAAGAACTCTGAATGTGGACCTGTAATCTACTACCCTTTCCAACTTATCCAAGTATTGTGTACCAAGTGTTCTGGCCATTCCAAATATACCATATCCAGAAATTAAGGTATTACACATGGCTTTATTTGTATGCCAAGCACCCAATATGCAATTCAAAGTTTGGTGAGGATTGGAATAATTGTTTAATCTCTGGTAGATTGCTTGATCATAAGCTACATCCAAGGTTCCAGACATACCAAAATCATTTAGATACATATCACAAGATTCATATACATTATCATTAGAATTGGCTCTGGACCTCCCTGGAGGATCACAAGATTTGGTTGGTGTTAGCAAGTTACATCCAGGTTTTATGTATTTTCGAATTGATTCATTAATTTTCTCCATTCCAAAATCTCTATTATTTTCTTCATATAAAACAGAAAAAATATCATCATATTTTTCAATCCATTCATTAGCAAACTGATCAGGAAAGATTGGTTTTGGTAATATTTGCTCACTATCATCAATAGGTGTTTCACAGGATGTGGTAACTTATACTGGAGTGAAGTCCTAACAACAGCATGTTTTGTGTTACAAGTCACGTCAAAAATATTCCCATATGAATATGTGTGGTCTCTGATGTCAATATTATCAATGATAGCAAGATTCCAAATATTTGGACCTATTTCAAGCCTAGCTGCTGGTACAATACTTGATATACGTTCATTACGAACCCTATATTCATGATGCTTGCTATGCAAAGCAACTTGGACTGTCTGTAAAATTGAATGAAGATAGGGCAGAAGTTTGGGATTTTGACATAGGGAAGATATTATTTGTGCAAACCAGATTTTTGTATGGGGAAAGGCAAATTTCAAAATTACTGATGTCAAAAATGTGGTAATTTTTTTATAAGCGGATATTTCAGGTAAATTAAGTTGTTTTCGTTTCTTTTTAACTATATATCTCATATTTTTTTTCATATAGATTGGTGATTAGACTGTTGAAAAAGCTAGTGAGATTTTGGAATTGCCTCATAAAATTCATCAAGAGATTCTGGTTCTTCCGGTGGTAATTTGTTTTCTTTGATTATATTACGTGATTGCCAAATCAAATTTGCTAAAATTTCACCATAATTTTTAAATGTTTTTGAATCCAACTGACTGTTTTCCTCATCTTCATTTATATTAATGTTTTTTACAGCCAAAGCTATATTGAGATGGAAAAAACTTGGGATTAATAGGTTATCAGAAGATCCTATTACTGTAGAACTTGATGGTAATGTAGCTTTTGTTTCTGTTGTATTAAAATCTCCAATGACCTTG